TGTGTGTGTGTGTGTGTGTGTATGTATGTATGTATGTATGTATGTATGTATGTATGTTTGTATGTAGGGCTCTTTTCGTCTATGCAGACGGTCAATTTAGCTTAATATGGTTTCAAGGTTGTCTTCTTATGTTTGAATCGCAGATTCTGTCGCAGTGCTTTAATGTCAGAGAGGTGGGTTAATGCTCTGTATTTCCGCTGTTTCCCTTCCGTCGTTGGCGCTTCTCAGCCTGGTTGTTTCTGAGACTGCCCTCTAGCATTATAGTTCTTTACTTTATCATGTTCCTCCTTGTTTTCCTATCCTCAGCCATTTCTTCCCAGATACTGCCATCTACTCCAAACTTATATAAGCTGTTTTTACAAGTGTCTTTGTACCTCAATTTTGGTCTTTCTCTTGGTCTCTTTCACTGGGCAAGTTCTCCATATAGAAGTTGCTTCGGAAATGGGTTATCGTCCATTCTTTTGACATGGCCTAGCCATCTCAATCTTCTTAAACGCAGGATAGTTGTCATGCTCTGCGGTTTGCCCGGCCAACACTTCAACATTGGTAACCTTGTCACGCCACGAAATGCCTAATGTCTTGCGGCAGCATCTGAGATGGAAAATTTGGAGGTGCTTTTCTTGCCTGCTGTACAAGGTCCATGTTTCACTCAGATCCATAAAGGAGTGTGCTGAGGACACATGCTTCGTAAATCTTGATCTTTGTTTTGATGGTTAATCTTTTGTTTTCCCTTGATCGTTTTGTCAGCTTTCCAAAAGTTGTTGCTGCTTTCCCTATTCTGATGTTGATCTCATTAAGTGATGTAGTTGAGCTGATGGTAGACCCCAGGTAACAGAACTTGTCCACTGTCTCAAGTTCCTTGTCGTTCAGCCAAAAATGGCTGTGCTTTGCACATTCTTGACCAAGCTCAAAACCTTACATGCTGTTGATAGATGATCCATCATTGTTTGTAGTGTTCATTCACTGTGAGCAACAAGAGCAGCATCATCGGCGAAGAGAAGGTCTCGTACTGTTGTTTTGTTGATCTTGGTCTTGGCCCGGAGTCGAGTTTGACTGAAGAGCGACCCATCAGTTCTCCAGTGGAGAAAGACATCCCCTGGCGACTCTTTGAATTCGTATGGTAGTAAGACTGCAAATTAAGTGCTAAAAAGGGTTGGTACTGAGACATAACTTTGCCTTACTCCGCTATTGATGTTGAAGCTGTTTGATGTTGAACCATCAAACTGAATGGTGGCCTTCATACCTTCATGAGCTGTCGCAGTATTTGGGGGCAGACATTTTTTTCCGAGCACCAAGTACAGTTCTCATCTACTGACTGTATCGAAAGTCTTTGTCAGGTCGACGAACGCAGTATGTAATGGCAGTTGTTGCTCCTTGTATTTTTCTTGCAGCTGACGAATAGAAAAGATCATGTCCATGGTTGAGCGGTTTGATCTGAAACCTCACTTTCTCTCTGGTAGGACTCTTTCTGCTAGTTTCTGAAGTCGATTCAGGATTATCCTAGCGAAAGCTTTTCCAGTGATGCTTAGCGGTGAGATACCTCTGTAGTTGTTGCTATTTCATTTGTCCCCTTTGTTTTCGTAGAGTGTGCTGACTTTGGCATCCCTCCTGTCAGGTGGAATTTCTGCTTTCAGCCAACAAGTCGTTAGTAGCTTGTAGAGATATGAGAGGAGGGTCTCTTTGATCTATCTCAGCACTTCAGCAGGTATGTTGTCATTTCCTGCTGCTTTTCTGCAAGCGAGTTCATCGATTGTTGGAGAGAGTTCTTCTGTTGGTGTTGTATCAAGTTCTGACATTTCGGAGAGTTGAGGAATGGTCTCATTTACCTGTCTATCTACATATCGCTCCTCTGAGTATAAGTCTGAATAATGTTCCACCCATCTTTCCATTTGTTTCTTCCTGTCTGTCAGCTGTTTACCAGTCGAAGACTTTAGACGTGCCACTTTGTTTGCTGTTGATCCAATGGCAACTCTGATTTTTTCATACATTTTCCTGATATAACCTGTATCGCTTGCCTGTTGGATTTCTGAGCATAATTTGTCCCAGTACTGATTGGCGCACTTTCTGGTTTCTCTTTGAAGGTTAGGTTTAGGAGCACGTAGTTTTGTTACTTTGTACTTTCTGTTGGATTTATGGTGTGCTCTATCAGGATCTTACGCTTTTTCTCGAGTAGTGGTGCTAGTGTTGACGCACCTGCTTCAACCCAGTCCTCCTAGCAAGGCCTTTCTCTTTCGAAGGAAATTGACGCAAAATTATAAATTGTTGATTTCATGCTATTCCACATGTTGTCTGTGGATGAGCTATCTAGATGTTGAAATTTTGCCCTTAACAATGGGTCTTTGGTATGTCTTATGTTGATCTTAGATTTCTTTTGTTTATCAGCTCTTGGTGTTTTCTTTGTGACTATCTTTGCTGAGTCGTGTGAGCTCCCTTTCTATGATTGCCTGTCTTTCTGGTGTCCTTTGCTTTCTCCGGGTTGATAGTATTCAATCCGATTGTCATTGTTCTAACATTCCAGGTCCCCTTTTTCCATGGCTTTAAATTTACTCTTTTTTTGCCTGGTGCTGGGTTTAACCTCTGCCGTTCGGTTTTTGTCCTAGCTCCATACACCCATAGAAGCAAACAGACGTGGCGGATCTGCACCTTACTGACTGGGGCCTGCCCATTTTGAGACGGGCGATAGCTGATCAGTGCGACTGAATAGTCACTCCCGTCGTCACAGTGACCCGTGGCGACATCCTGTTTCGCCAAATGAGGATGTCTTATAACCTGTAAACTGCCACCTACCGTGTTTTTTCCCTTGTTTATCACAGCAAGGATGAAGTGTCCTCTCCATAGTCATATAATTGCTGCTTTAGCTGTGGTTGAGCTGTGGGTCTAGTCCGCTGTATTTGCGTTTTTGATGCGTCCTCCAAAAAATATTGAGATCTTGACTAAAGTAAATGCCTGGGCCTGACTGTATGGAGAATGTGCCATGCCCAATTTGCACTCACTCCCTCTCGACTTTGCTGATTTAGTCCAAAGGAGCGACGAGGTCAATACCGGTACATTTGGAACCACTAAAGTTGCAGGGGCTGCCAGAAGATAGTTCGGATCATTCCTCCCTATCGACTGCCTTAGTGGCGTCCAAAAGAAACTTGAAAATGTTATCACCCAATCATTTTGCGTTAAAGCCTTGCACTACTCACTCTACAGCATACCAATTTAAAGCGAAATAAATTCTGCATCATCTGACACATTAATAATTCATCTACAGTCTTCACAAAAAGTTCAGGACCACTTGCAAAAGTGCACGCAAAATAAAAAATCAGCAAATGGAATGATTCCTTCTTTAACATACATGTAATTCATTAATCCATGAGTGCATCAAAGAAATTTCACCACAATCGAAACAGAAAAGTATGACCCACCTCCAAAATCGAAAATCACAACAAAAAAAAAGGCCTGGGGAATATTGTTCTACTTTGGTTACAGCCACCCAAGCAGCTGCTGGCTGGCAAAGGGTGGTTCTCCCGAACTCTACGATCAAGCTTAGCCCACAACTTCAATAGGATTGAGGTCTGGACTGTTGGCTGACCAAACCATGTGGGTAATCCCCGCCTGCTGCATGAAAGCGTTGACGGCACTGGACCTGTGTGGCGTGGCGTTGTCGTCCTGAAGGACAGCAGCAAGCCCATTCTGCTGTAGCGCCGGGACGACCAGAGGTCGAAAGATCTCCTGCAGATACCGCTGTCGTGTCAGGATGCCTTG